TTTAGTATACTCCAATCAACAGCCCCTACAACCACAAAAAGGAATGGAGTCATTAGCACTTATGGTTTTTAAATGGCACCCAGAATTATGTTGCACGAAGCACAATTTCACATCATTCTGGGTTCATTTGTGTGAAAACAAGGTCCAATCAGGCTGAAACGTTACAGGAACGTAGAATCTATTGAGTTGTAAGTGATCTGAACGTTTCATGATGATAGCACTTTCCTAAGGGGGTCAAACCATGTCCCAAAGGTCACCGGATCTGGTGTCAATTCAAAGAAGTAGTCCAGTTACATATTTGTGGGCTTATAACTTGGCTTCTGAATGTCCTAGAGAGATCAGGTTTGTTTTAATGTACTCCAATTAACAGCCCCTACAACCACAAAAAGGAATGGAGTCATTAGCACTTATGGTTTGTAAATGGCACCCAGAATTACGTTGCACGAAGCACAATTTCACATCATTCTGGGTTCATTTGTGTGAAAACAAGGTCCAATCAGGCTGAAACGCTACAAGAAGGTAGAATCTATTGAGTTGTAAGTGATCTGAACATTTCATGATGATAGCACTTTCCTAAGGGGGTAAAACCATGTCCCAAAGGTCACCGGGCCTAGTGTCACTTTAAAGAAGTAGTCCAGTTACACATTTTTGGGCTTATAACTTGGCTTCTGAATATCCTAGAGAGATCAGGTTTGTTTTAGTGTACTCCAATCAACATCCCCTAAAACCTCAAAAAGGAATGGAGTCATTAGGACTTATGGTTTTTAAATGGCACCCAGAACTATGCTGCACTAAGCACAATTTCACATCATTCTGGGTTCATTTGTGTGAAAACAAGGTCCAATCAGGCTGAAACGTTACAGGAAGGTAGAATCTATTGATTTGTAAGTGATCTGAACGTTTCATGATGATAGCACTTTCCTAAGGGGGTCAAACCATGTCCCAAAGGTCACCGGATCTGGTGTCAATTTAAAGAAGTAGTCCAGTTACACATTTGTGGGCTTATAACTTGGCTTCTGAATGTCCTAGAGAGATCAGGTTTCTTTTAGTGTACTCCAATCAACAGCCCCTACAACCACAAAAAGGAATGGAGTCATTAGCACTTATGGTTTGTAAATGGCACCCAGAATTATGTTGCACGAAGCACAATTCCACATCATTCTGGGTCCATTTGTGTGAAAACAAGGCCCAGATAGCAAACATTTTGGTTTTATTTTGGTTTTATTTTGGCATTAATTGGGCATTTTGGCATCCTTCTGGCACAAAAATGTTCGAAAAAGTATTTTGGCTTAAATGTGGCATAATTTTGGGTTCCCATTATAGACAATTACATCAGCAAGTGTTTCTGTTTTAACCGTGGCATAAATATGGTTTGCCATAATAGAAAATTAGGCGGCTGGCGATTATGGCATATTCTGGGTAGCCAGAAGAGAGCGGGACAGCGTCTGTGACTTCTGCAGGTGTGCTATGGGGTTATTTTGGCAAGCCATAAAACTCATCAAATGGCGGGAAAAATAGTGATCGAAGACTGGGAATCAGGACTAATTTGTTCATTTCTCCAGCATCACGACAGAGGTGAGTACTATTTCTTCTTGAATCCTACCTTTTTGTTTGCTATAGTTTTGTTTTAGGTCTGTATTGTTTGTTTTAGCAAAATGTAATATTTGGCCACGTTCCGGGTTCCAGAACTAATGGCTTGGTTTCTGCTAGTAGATAGTGGCTGTGCCGCTGTTTAGATGAGGTACAGATGCTAACTGTGGCTAACCTACAGCTAACGAGCGTCTATATACGACCGAGTGGCTTTGCCAAAGGGTCACGCGGTTCGCTGCGGCTGCAGCAGACTGTAACGGTACCGGGTGGTAGAGGGCTGCATCGGGATTGGGTCCCGCGGGACCCAACACAAGTCTTGCGGGGGAGGGCGGTGTGAATTTTGCTGCGGGCGGGAAGGGTCGGCTGGATCGGGATGAGTACGATGGAGTCGGCAACTGATGTTGAAAAGAAGCTGAAACAAGGTCTTTATGACACAAAAACCAAAGCAAGGCAAGTCAGACATTTGGAGCAGTTTCTCCGATTGTGTTAATATTTCTCATTCAGGTCTCAGAAAAGTGACCTCGATCACTGCCTGATTACAGAGGAGAATGGAATATGAAACGGCCTTGATTTCATTATCCCTTTAAGCACCACACAGTAGCTCCTTTATGTTTATTTTTAAGAATTTTATAGGTTAAGTAGCGAGTTGTTTGAAATAACATGCGCCGATGCGTCACCGGTGATCCTGGTGACGCATCGGCGTTAAAGGGTTAAAAACTAAATGAAAACAAAGTGCGTCAATCCTGACCAATGTGTTAAAAGATGTGCAGGATCCGATCAATTTGTTTTTCCCTCATTTACAGTCACGGAGATAACGGCACACTGGCTCTGGTGTTAATCAAGTTAAATTTAATCTCTTTCCAACAATTTTCACAAGAAAACAGAACAGTTAAAAGCAGGGCTTGTGTTGTGTTGACCGGATATTTCCCGTATTTGACCGTTTATTTTGACGGAGAAAGAATAGAAAGAATACGCATGCAGACGAACTGACATTTTATTGCAGATGTAGCTAAATCACCTGAGAAAAGATTCCCATCTGAACATCTGAGCTGGACACTGCTCAGCGCAGCTCACTGTCAGCGCATACATAAGGTGCACAGCGAGCTGAAGATGTGGAGAGGAGCTTGGAGCGCATCGCAGAACCAGGGCGCATGCGGGAAGGTTCCTCCCACTGAAGCAAGTGTTTTCCTAACCCTGTCTCTCAGAGAGACTGTCAGAAAATGTTCCCTGATTATGAAACTTTGGCTGAATAGTGCTTGTTCCTGTCTCCAATGTGGCAACGCATCCCTGAGCCTGTCTGAGGAGAAGCCCAGAATCTCACATCCTCTTCAGCTCAGAAAATGCCAATTATGAAAAAGCGTGACCTGTCAACCCAGTCTCACAGTAAGACCGGGTTGGAACTGTTCAGGTTTACGCAGACAATCTTTACATTTAGAATTGACTTACAGATATAAAATTAATTCAGTAAAATATAAAGCATTTTATTTAAATATCCATTCATTATTTTACAAGCACAGAGAGCCGCATCAGATGGATGGAAGAGCCGCGGGTTGCCGACCCCTGGTATAGCCTATAAAATGACATGTTTTCTCCAGGACCAGAGAGGACACAAACTCAATACATGTCTTTTATTGTGAGGTAATAATTTCTCAGAGTTTTGCGGTTGCGGGCGGGAGTAGACATGCACACAGCGGGTGCGGGCGGGAGTATAACACACGTTGCGGTTGCAGGCGGTAATGGTCAGAAATTCAGCGGGAGTGGGCAGGAGCAGGATATTTAATAAAGATAATTAAGAAAGTGACACAACATGAAAATGTACTCTGTTGTGAACACAGATGACTTAATGAGGCGAGGAGGAAGCTCCCTCTTGCTGAGGAGCAGACAGACCTCCAGTCTGAGGCGGAAGCCATTGAAAGGCCTCAAAGAAGAATTAAGTAAGAATTTTGTGAACTTTCCATTCCTCCACCTCTTGGGCCTGTGTTGAATTTGCACTCATTAACTTAAAATAAATGTTTAATTCAGAATAAATGTTGTCTTGTGTGTTCATTTCCAAAGGCCAAGCATATGTCCAGGATCGGGCCTCATCAGAGGATGAAGCCCAGACCCCTGGAAGAGGGCTTCCCCCACCCCCAGCCATCCCCCCAGTGAGGAGAAGGTTCATCCTCCCCAATAACCTGTACCTCTGCCTGACCTGACCAATTACCAGGTAATGGAAATCTCAACAAATACCACAGTAAAGTATGTATAGCAAATGGGTTTGAGTGTAGCTGATCATGTAAGTGTGGTGTTTCAAATGTGATACATTAGGAAATTTACAAAGGTTAATGAGGCAGTTACATGGAGAAAAACAATTCTGGAGCCATTACGTCACTGTTGAGGTCAATAATTGCATTTTGTAAACTGTTGTTCTTCTTCCTCTCCCTCTTCTACACACTCTTCCAGCATGTCATGACCCTGGGGACATCATTGCGGCAGGCCATTGACCTGCAGGGTCACCAGGGAACCCAGGGGGTTCCAGTTCCAACTCCCTCTTCATCTGGTGGGATGATGAGGGAGGAACCGGCTCTCCAGGTGCCTACAGTTTGTCCCAACTCCTCTCCAGAGCAGTGGCAGCAGAGGGACGACATGACATGTAAGGTTATTATGGTTTACACTCACCCAGTCCTCACATGCCAGTTACAATATACAAACACATGATCCACACATACATACTAATATAAGATGGTTTATAAAGCTAAACACACACACACACACACACACACACACAGAGAGAGAGAGAGAGTCTGAATGGAAAAGAATTATGTTTATGTATTTAGCAGATGCTTTTGTCCTAAGCGACTTACAAGTGATAATCGGCATATTGCCCTTGAGGCTAACAACAACAACAACAACTTGACATCAATCATGGAGAGGAGGGAACAAGGAGTGGACAGTAGAGAGGGGGGACGGGTGCAGGGAGGGTGCTAGTTAAGAAGATGCTCTCTGAAGAGCAGGGTCTTCAGGAGTTTCTTGAAAATTGAAAACGAAGCTCCTGTTCTGGTAGTGCTTGGAAGGTCATTCCACATTTGTGGAACGATGCATGAGAAGAGTCTGGATTGTCCTGAGCGTGGTGTAGGCACTGCTAGCCAACGATCCTGTGATGACCGGAGCGGCCAGGCCGAGACGTAAGCCTTTGCAAGAGGATTCAGGTAGATGGGAGCCGTACCATCTCGGACTTTGTATGCTAGTGTTAGCAATTTGAATTTGATGCGTGTTGTTAGCGGTAGCCAGTGGAGCTCAATGAACAGAGGGGTGACGTGTGCTCTTTTTGGTTAATTAAAATGCCACACACACACACACACACACACACACACACACACACACACACACACACACACACACACACACACACACACACACACAACATGTAAATGCAAAAAATGCTTAAACTATGTTGTTTCTTTGTGTCTGAAATGCTTTTCAGCTCTCCTGCATGAAGTCCTGGTGAAACAGGAAATAATCCTTCAGCAGCAGCACGGCCTCACCAAAATGGTGCAGGACCTTTTGTTGCTGTTGCTGCTCGTCAGGGCCTGACCACAGGGGGAAGTGTGGAGACGAGGCACCACGGCATCTTCCCCTTGGCAGATGTTCAGGCCCTGATGGCCCTGGAGAGGGAGCTTGGAATCAGTCCAACATTGGCCCATGAATTGGTGAGCTTTTTTCTGTTCTTTACAGCAAAGTTTTGGACAATGCATTTTGGCATGCACATCCAATTTATGTGTTGTTCAATATCTTAAAGTGGTAGATATGCCAAAGGAGTTAAAGGACTGCTTGTGTAGCCAACGAGCTGCACCCAATTATCCCCCCCCCCCCCCCCCCCCCCCACACACACACGTTTCAGGTCTCTGCCCTTCATCAGGCAACCATGTAATGCCAAATAAATAAATAGTGGCGCACAATGGCTATCCAGGCTTTTCTTTAAGTTTGTATAATATTTGTTTGAAAATTCAATGAAAATCAATCGTTGTTTAAAAAATTAATGAAGATCAATTTTTCTAATTTTAGGGTTCAACACTCGGCCTTGCGGGGGGGTCCACAGTTAAGGACATGGTGTGGCGGGTCCTCAAAGGAGCCATGACTAATGCCCTCGCCGAGGGCAAAATGGGAAGGTGGCCTTTGAGAGGCTCCATCTAAAAGGCATTGTAATTGGTAAGTTTAATCACAACAGTAACACGACTGTTCTATCACACAGCTGATAAAATCATAGTTTAGGATAAAATTATTAGCCACCCATGACAATCACATTTCTTTTCAAAGTCAAAATACTTATAGTCTTAACAACTAATTTGCGAAATGGCACGCAGTGCGCCTGTGAATATCTCGTAATTATAACACCACGCTATCGCTGGCTTCAAGACAGCTATTGCCACTTTGCCCGCAATGTGACGCGTTCTTCAGGGTCAACTCTCGCTCGTGAAATTCTTGTTTGGTTTTAGTGTCAGGAAAGAACCGCTGGTTTGTGTTTGGTAAACTGTGTTTGGTAAAGTAAACTGTGGCAGTGTAAGTACTAAGTGACTATGATGATTTAGTGTTGTAACTTTGGCTGTCACTTTCAACCCCATATGACGAGATGCATCCATTAACTAATGCAAAACTGACTTTTTAACTAGCCAGTTACTTAGCCCACCACAGGTCTCTTTTGCATGGACTGTTGCGTCGTCCTTTTTTAAGTCTTTCTCCATGTGTATGCCTTTATTTTCAGCTGCAGTGAGAAGGAATCCAGTCTGTGTGGCATCTACAGAGGCAGAAATTGTAAATACAATTAAAAAATGGTTCTACTGGGCTGGGGATGGGGACGGAGGGCGCAAAAGGAGAATGCCCGCCCACCCAACCCCTCAACCAGCCCAGGACTCAGTCCAGGACTGACCTTTACAAAAATAAATAAATAAAATATTCAAATTTTACTCTTGTTTGGTTTTATGTTTATGCACCTCGTACACACAGTAACCTAGGCTATTTCACAAGGCTATTTAACTGAGGCACAACATCTGAATCTTCTGTACAAGGACATTTTATGGTCTATTAAAATGTTAAATTAAATTTAGCATAAGGTTCAGAATAAAATATAATCTTTTGGTAAATGTATGGCTAATTATGGATAAGTTATGGTTCATATTTGGCTTTATTATGGGATTTTGGGATGGTTATGGCTATGCTTTGGAAAGCCACATTTTATTTTGGGTGATCTTTTGGCAAACTTATGGTTACACTTTGATATCCTTTGGCCATTTTGTGGTGTTTTGGGGTTCTTTTGGTATAGTTATGGTTGTGCTTTGGAATTCCACAATTTATTTTGGAAGAATTCTGGCAACCTTTTGACAATCCATAATTCTATTTTGACGTGCCTTATTTGGGCCATGTCTGGCCCATCATTCCACCCAAAAGAGTACCAAACTGGCATGCCAAACTAGTGCCAAAAATGATTCTGGCAACCTTTTGACAATCCATAATTCTATTTTGGCGTGCCTTATTTGGGCCATATATGGCCCATCATTCCGTCCAAAAGAGTACCAAGACTGGCTTGCCAAACTAGTGCCAAAAATGATTCTGGCAACCTTTTGACAATCCATAATTCTATTTTGGTGTGCCTAATATGGGCCATATTTGGCCCATCATTCCATCCAAAAGAGTACCAAGACTGGCTTGCCAAACTAGGGCCAAAAAGAATTTGCTATCTGGGGGTCCAATCAGGCTGAAACGTTACAAGAAGGTAGAATCTATTGAGTTGTAAGTGATCTGAACGTTTCATGATGATCGCACATTCCTATAGGGGGTCAAACCATGTCCCAAAGGTCTCCGGGCCTGGTGTCACTTTAAAGAAGTAGTCCAGTTACACCTTTGAGGGCTTATAACTTGGCTTCTGAATGTCCTAGAGAGACCAGGTTTGTTTTAGTGTACTCCAATCAACAGCCCCTACAACCTCCAAAAGGAATGGAGTCATTAGCACTTATGGTTTTTAAATGGCACCCAGAATTATGTTGCACGAAGCACAATTTCACATCATTCTGGGTTCATTTGTGTGAAAACAAGGTCCAATCAGGCTGAAACGTTACAGGAAGGTAGAATCTATTGAGTTGTAAGTGATCTGAACGTTTCATGATGATAGCACTTTCCTAAGGGGGTCAAACCATGTCCCAAAGGTCACTGGATCTGGTGTCAATTTAAAGAAGTAGTCCAGTTACACATTTGTGGGCTTATAACTTGGCATCTGAATGTCCTAGAGAGGTTAGGTTTGTTTTAGTGTACTCCAATCAACAGCCCCTACAACCACAAAAAGGAATGGAGTCATTAGCACTTATGGTTTGTAAATGGCACCCAGAATTATGTTGCACGAAGCACAATTTCACATCATTCTGGGTTCATTTGTGTGAAAACAAGGTCCAATCAGGCTGAAACGTTACAGGAAGGTAGAATCTATTGAGTTGTAAGTGATCTGAACGTTTCATGATGATAGCACTTTCCTAAGGGGGTCAAACCATGTCCCTAAGGTCACCGGATCTGGTGTCAATTTAAAGTAGTCCAGTTACACATTTGTGGGCTTATAACTTGGCTTCTGAATGTCCTAGAGAGATCAGGTTTGTTTTAGTGTACTCCAATCAACAGCCCCTACAACCACAAAAAGGAAATGAGTCATTAGCACTTAAGGTTTGTAAATGGCACCCAGAATTATGTTGCACGAAGCACAATTTCACATCATTCTGGGTCCATTTGTGTGAAAACAAGGTCCAATCAGGCTGAAACGCTACAAGAAGGTAGAATCTATTGAGTTGTAAGTGATCTGAACGTTTCAAGATGATCGCACATTCCTATAGGGGAAAAACCATGTCCCAAAGGTCACCGGGCCTGGTGTCACTTTAAAGAAGTAGTCCAGTTACACCTTTGTGGGCTTATAACTTGGCTTCTGAATATCCTAGAGAGGTTAGGTTTGTTTTAGTGTTCTCCAATCAACAGCCCCTACAACCACAAAAAGGAATGGAGTCATTAGCACTTATGGTTTGTAAATGGCACCCAGAATTATGTTGCACGAAGCACAATTTCACATCATTCTGGGTTCATTTGTGTGAAAACAAGGTCCAATCAGGGTGAAACGTTACAGGAAGGTAGAATCTATTGAGTTGTAAGTGATCTGAACGTTTCATGATGATAGAACTTTCCTAAGGGGGTCAAACCATGTCCCAAAGGTCACCGGATCTGGTGTCAATTTAAAAAAGTAGTCCAGTTACACATTTGTGGGCTTATAACTTGGCTTCTGAATGTCCTAGAGAGATCAGGTTTGTTTTAGTGTACTCCAAACAACAGCCCCTACAACCTCAAACAGGAATGGAGTCATTAGCACTTATGGTTTTTAAATGGCACCCAGAATTATGTTGCACGAAGCACAATTTCACATCATTCTGGGTTCATTTGTGTGAAAACAAGGTCCAATCAGGCTGAAATGTTACAGGAAGGTAGAATCTATTGAGTTGTAAGTGATCTGAACGTTTCATGATGATAGCACTTTCCTAAGGGGGTCAAACCATGTCCCAAAGGTCACAGGATCTGGTGTCAATTTAAAGAAGTAGTACAGTTACACCTTTGTGGGCTTATAACTTGGCTTCTGAATGTCCTAGAGAGATCAGGTTTGTTTTATTATACTCCAATCAACAGCCCCTACAACCACAAAAAGGAATGGAGTCATTAGCACTTATGGTTTGTAAATGGCACCCAGAATTATGTTGCACGAAGCACAATTTCACATCATTCTGGGTCCATTTGTGTGAAAACAAGGTCCAATCAGGCTGAAACGCTACAAGAAGGTAGAATCTATTGAGTTGTAAGTGATCTGAACGTTTCAAGATGATCGCACATTCCTATAGGGGGTAAAACCATGTCCCAAAGGTCACCGGGCCTGGTGTCTCTTTAAAGAAGTAGTCCAGTTACACATTTGTGGGCTTATAACTTGGCTTCTGAATGTCCTAGAGAGATCAGGTTTGTTTTAGTATACTCCAATCAACAGCCCCTACATCCACAAAAAGGAATGGAGTCATTATCACTTATGGTTTTTTAATGGCACCCAGAATTATGTTGCACGAAGCACAATTTCACATCATTCTGGGTTCATTTGTGTGAAAACAAGGTCCAATCAGGCTGAAACGTTACAGGAAGGTAGAATCTATTGAGTTGTAAGTGATCTGAACGTTTCATCATGATAGCACTTTCCTAAGGGGGTCAAACCATGTCCCAAAGGTCACCGGATCTGGTGTCAATTTAAAGAAGTAGTCCAGTTACAGATTTGTGGGCTTATAACTTGGCTTCTGAATGTCCTAGAGAGATCAGGTTTGTTTTAATGTACTCCAATCAACAGCCCCTACAACCACAAAAAGGAATGGAGTCATTAGCACTTATGGTTTGTAAATGGCACCCAGAATTAAGTTGCACGAAGCACAATTTCACATCATTCTGGGTTCATTTGTGTGAAAACAAGGTCCAATCAGGCTGAAACGCTACAAGAAGGTAGAATCTATTGAGTTGTAAGTGATCTGAACGTTTCATCATGATAGCACTTTCCTAAGGGGGTCAAACCATGTCCCAAAGGTCACCGGATCTGGTGTCAATTCAAAGAAGTAGTCCAGTTACACCTTTGTGGGCTTATAACTTGGCTTCTGAATGTCCTAGAGAGATCAGGTTTGTTTTAATGTACTCCAATCAACAGCCCCTACAACCACAAAAAGGAATGGTGTCTTTAGCACTTATGGTTTGTAAATGGCACCCAGAATTACGTTGCACGAAACACAATTTCACATCATTCTGGGTTCATTTGTGTGAAAACAAGGTCCAATCAGGCTGAAACGCTACAAGAAGGTAGAATCTATTGAGTTGTAAGTTATCTGAACGTTTCAAGATGATCGCACATTCCTATAGGGGGTAAAACCATGTCCCAAAGGTCACCGGGCCTGGTGTCTCTTTAAAGAAGTAGTCCAGTTACACATTTGTGGGCTTATAACTTGGCTTCTGAATGTCCCTGAGAGATCATGTTTGTTTTAGTATACTCCAATCAACAGCCCCTACAACCACAAAAAGGAATGGAGTCATTAGCACTTATGGTTTTTAAATGGCACCCAGAATTATGTTGCACGAAGCACAATTTCACATTATTCTGGGTTCATTTGTGTGAAAACAAGGTCCAATCAGGCTGAAACGTTACAGGAAGGTAGAATCTATTGAGTTGTAAGTGATCTGAACGTTTCATGATGATAGCACTTTCCTAAGGGGGTCAAACCATGTCCCAAAGGTCACCGGATCTGGTGTCAATTCAAAGAAGTAGTCCAGTTACACATTTGTGGGCTTATAACTTGGCTTCTGAATGTCCTAGAGAGATCAGGTTTGTTTTAATGTACTCCAATCAACAGCCCCTACAACCACAAAAAGGAATGGATTCATTAGCACTTATGGTTTTTAAATGGCACCCAGAATTATGTTGCATGAAGCACAATTTCACATCATTCTGGGTTCATTTGTGTGAAAACAAGGTCCAATCAGGCTGAAACGTTACAGGAAGGTAGAATCTATTGAGTTGTAAGTGATCTGAACGTTTCATGATGATAGCACTTTCCTAAGGGGGTCAAACCATGTCCCAAAGGTCACCGGATCTGGTGTCAATTTAAAGAAGTAGTCCAGTTACACATTTGTGGGCTTATAACTTGGCTTCTGAATGTCCTAGAGAGATCAGGTTTGTTTTAGTGTACTCCAATCAACAGCCCCTACAACCACAAAAAGGAATGGAGTCATTAGCACTTAAGGTTTGTAAAG